TATCAGGAACGGAGGCCAGTTTTCCAACGGGCTATACCGGGGAATAACACGGGTTCAGCAGCTAGGAAGAAGAAACTGCACGAGCCGAAAGTTTATCCGCGAAGTTTCGAGTGCAGAGCCGGTTGATTTATCGGGCTCATTACTGCCAGGAAAGAGGGAGGACTACAGGCAACACAAGCCACCCCAGCGGCGTGTTTTACAAGACGGCATTAATTGCTCGAATTAAATATGCACCTCTCTCCGTGGCGTAATTTATTTCGGTTTCCTTAAGCACTTTAAGTCGCCGGGAACTCGCCGGCCGCTCGCGCAGCATCGCCAACGCTTTCCACGTCGACGTTAATAATGGCCTCGTAGGATATTAATTGACGCTGCTCCTGTAAAAAGCTCCCGCTTTACGCTTTAATCCTGACCGCGCTGAATCCCTCCCTCCCCCCTCCCTCGACCGATTTTATTCGCCAGGGATTAGACCATCTCTTTATTTCGTATATATCGTTGCTTTGGCAATAATTATGCACATACCTATGTCGGGCATTGGTCGAGGAATTTCTTAAGATTCGAGGCAGAGTCTCGAAAATATCATTCAGGACATTTTACGAATATACCGCGTGTATTAGAAATTTCATCATTACGGTTATATATTGTGAAAATTGAATGTCATGATTGTGTTGGTGAAATTTGAAACCAGGTGTATCGAAGTTGCAAGATGTGTTATTAATCAGGAACATCTTTCGAATTACGAATAACGATAGAGATGTCAAATACGACCCAACTGAACATTTCAAAAATATTCAGTTGGGTCGTATTTGACACTTATCATGTCACTTAACTATTATTAATAATAATTTTTTATATCATTCGTCATATCATTTTCGAATTTTACCAATATAAAATTATGCAAGTTATGTAAATTACAATGTCAGTGATGTTTCAAAATATTTTACAATATCTACAATATGAATGTAAAAGTTAAGTGTTCAAATACTTTTTGAAGACTGTGTAATATACGTATATTATATGTATCATTCTTGAAAAAGAAAAGATATTGATGTCTTCGATATTTTCATATATTACGTGAAATTTGAAAAGATAAAGTTAAACATGGATTTTAATATTTTGTTCAGTGTGATTTTGAAAAGTAAAGTGAAAAATACAGAAGCAATAAATTTTTACTGAAATTTTATCGAATTGTGGAACTAGATTTTTCGGAAATAACTTGCTCGGAAATTTTCCTATGATTAACAATTTTTCTATTCTCCATCCAATATTCGATATCGTATGATTTCACTGAATTCTAAAATTTAGAAAAGGAAAGGTGTATCAATTGAAAATTTCACCTCTGTTTTAGAATTAACATAACTTTCTTCAACGTACTTTATTTGGCACATAGTAATGGCTATCGAGAAAACTAAAAAAAAAAAAAAGAAACAAGTCGTCACGCATCAGTCGCAGAAGTCGCAGGAAAACTCAAAGCATTTGAGAACAATTTGTCAAATTAACTCATCCGTGTCCCCAAGCTGAAGGACAAATGTCCACGTTAATCTCGTCGATGAATCTTCTCCCGCCTTTTTTACATGCCCCGGCGCGATCTTCCAAGCATTATCGGAATTAATAACGGGCCTCGTTCGAAATTAATCGGCTATTTAATACAGGACCTTCTATGAAATCTAATTAAGAGGGGGCCATCGGTCGGTAATCGCGTGCCACAAATCACCGCGCCGCCCCCGCGGGCCGAGAACACGGTGTTGTTGTACCCGCGCGAATTCCCGTCCCCCGTGAATTCGAGGCCTGTCTGCTCTCTTGGCCCTCCGGGATCTCCGTGGCGATTAATTAGGCATAAAAATCTGGTCGTTTGCGAGAAAAAAAAAAAAAAAAAA